TCTCGATCTCCTGACCTCGTGATCTGCCCGCCTCAGCCTCCCAAAGTGCTGGGATTACAGGTGTGAGCCACCATGCCCGGCCAAGGGCAGTTTTATTGAACACCTACTATATGCCAGGCTCTGGACTGGGGTATCTGTCAACTCTGTGAAGGGCCCAGCTCTTAGCCCAATTAATCGATGGGGAAACTGAGGTTCAAGGCTCAGTGGTTTGGCCAGGGTCTTACAGGTGGCCAGTGGCAGGACTGGGATTGGATTTGAGGGCTGTCAGCCCCCATGGGCCTGGAACAGGCAGCCCCAGTTGATTCATTCCTTTATTCTTTCCCTGTTTAATTTACTAGAGCAACCCTGGCTCCAGCTTGCAGGCCTGGCTTGCACTAGGTGCTTAACACATGCTCAATCAAAGCATGGCATGGCACATTCAAAGGCCTCTTGTTGCATCCTCCCACGCCAGGTGTGGGGTGTGACAAGTCCCTGTCTTTGCCTTCAGAGGCACCTCGTCAAATTCCAAGGGGCAAACTAGAGGTAGGACACCCTGGTGGTGCCATGGCCTGGGCCTTGTGGGCCTGGCCCAGGCTGCTCCGGGTGGCGGCCTCACCTGGAAGCTGCTGAGGGCCACGTAGACTTGGCTGCAGCCCTCGTATGGGCAGTGGAACATCTCCAGCAGGCCGTCAGCGTCCATCACCCGCGACCGCTTGCTCCGCCGCCTCCTGGAGGGGAAGGGGCCATGACATCAGGGCTCCCACACCAGGCAGGCTGGGGGACTGCAGGCCGCTCCTAGCCCTCGCCCTCACCCTTGCCCACCCCGGCACCCACTTTTCGGGCTCCTTGGGGATTTCGTAGATGATGGCTGACATATCGCTGCCATCCAGCTCCTCCCCGTCTGCCTCTGCCTCGGGCTCTGCGCTTTCAGGCACCGTCGTTGCCAGTTCCGGGGCTACTGGCTCCTCCTTCTCCTCCTTCTTGAGCAAGCATAGGTCCTCCTTCTCTACGGGGTGGACACAGGGTGGTGTCCGCAGGGGACGAAGGCTGCCAAGGTGCCCACTTCGAGGGCCACTCCTCACCCGGCCCCTCCCAGGCCCAACCACCCCTGGCCAGAGGCCATGGCAGCTCCCCCAGACCTTTCTTGGTCTCGATGCCTGCTACTGCAGTGGCGTCCGTGGTGCTAGGCTGGCTACCCTCGGGCTCTGTCTGGGTGTAGGCCGCCACACCCTCCATCATGGCACAGGGCCCCTCCTCGCCCAGGCCACCGCTGGGGGCACCGCTGCCCGCTGCCATGTTGAGGTGAATGCCCTCGGCCGTGAGAGCGTCGTAGCCAGGGCCCGCGATGATGATCACCTGTGAGCCGGGCACCATGCCTGGCATGGGGCAGCTGGCCACCACCTCACCCAGGGCCTCCTGGGGCACGTTCTCAAAGAGGGCGCCGGGGCCCGCACCCACTTGCACAGGCACCGGGACGCACACCACCGTCTCCAGGGCTTCGGGCCCACTGCCTGCTGGGTTGGGGCACAGCGGGGTACCCTGCTCAGCCAGGCTCTCCACATGGTGGACGTCAAAGGGGATGTGCACGCCCTCCTGAGTGATGAGCCCGCTGCTGCCCACCGGGCTGGTGGGCGTCACCGCCGCTGCCGCTGCTGCAGCCTTGACTGGCTGGCCTTCAGGGGGCTCCTCAGAGTCAGAGCCAGAGCCAGAGCTGGACGAGTCGGAGCTGCCGGCCACCAGCCCATTGCCCACTGTGGGGACAGAAGAAAGGGAATGGTTATGATAGCTGCAGCCACTGGTATTTGCTTATTTAGTTTCTATTTTATTTTTCTCTTTTCTTTCTTTTTTTTTGAGACAGAGTCTTACTCTGTCGCACAGGCTGGAATGCAGTGGTGCAATCTCAGCTCACTGCAACCTTGGCATCCCAGTTCCAGTGATTCTCCTGCCTCAGCCTCCCAAGTAGTTGGGACTACAGGCGTGCGCCACCACACCTGGCTAATTTTTGTATTTTTTGTAGAGACGGAGTTTCACCATGTTGGCCAGGCTGGTCTTGAACTCCTGACCTCAAGTCGTCCGCCCACCTCAACCTCCCAAAGTGATGGAATGACAGTCGTGAGCCACCGTGCCTGGCTGAACTTTTATTTTTTTCTGTTTTGAGATGGAGTCTCGCTCTGCCACCCAGGCTGGAGTGTAGTGGCGCAATCTCGGCTCACTGAAAGCTCTACCTCCCAGGTTCACGCCATTCTCTTGCCTCAGCCTCCCGAGTAGCTGGGACTATAGGTGACCGCCACCACGCCTGGCTAATTTTTTGTATTTTTAGTAGAGATGCGGTTTCACCTGTTAGCTGGGATGGTCTCGATCTCCTGACCTTGTGATTCGCCCACCTCGGCCTCCCAAAGTGCTGGGATTACAGGCGTGAGCCACTGAACCCGGCCTGAATTTTTCTTTCCTTTTTTTTTTTTTTGAGACAGAGTTTTGTTCTGTCACCCAGGTTGAGTGCAATGGCATGATCTTGGCTCACTGCAACCTCTGCCTCCTGGGTTCAAGTGATTCTCCTACCTCAGCCTCCCAAGTAGCTGGGATTACAGGCACGCACCACCACACCTGCCTAATTTTTGTATTTTTGGTAGAGACGGGATTCCCCATTTTGGCCAGGCTGGTCTCGAACTTCTGACTGCAGGTGATCCGCCCACCTGGGCCTCCCAAAGTGCTGGAATTACAGACATGAGACACCTCGTGCGGCCCCGATTTTTCCAAGTAGAGATCAGGTCTTGTTACACTACCCAGGCTGGCCCTGAACTCCTGGGGTCCAGTGATCTTCCCACCTTAGCCTCCCAAAGTGTTGGGATTACAGGTGTAAGCCACACGCCCGGCCAGCAGTTGGTATTTGTTGCAGGCTCTTCAGGGGCTGGACAGTAACCCTCTCACTGCCTAAAACAGCAATCACTTCTTAATCCCCACTGTCCCTAACTGTTCCAAGATGACTGACCCAGCTGACTACCCCTACTCCAGGGCACACTCCTCTCTCAGCCCTCAGACCCACACTCTGGTGTCTTGGGCCCTTCCTGTGGCTCCTTCCAAGTTTATTAGGTTCTTGCAGGCCTGGAAGGCTCGGCCCGGGGCCTCTCCTCAGTGCTCACCTTACCCCCAGGCTTGCCCAGGCTGATGGGGTTAAAGGCCACCCTCCGATTCTTGATGCCAACTGAATGTCCAATAATTCAATCCAATCTGACATTATCTTCCCGGAGTGGGCGTCAAATCCTCTAAGTTAAAGGCTCAGTCCCACAAGACCGCCTGACTTCAGATGTCAGCTGCAAGTCCTGGGCTACCCTGTATGTCTGACCAATGGGCTATAAATGGGGGGTTTCTATGACTCTATCCTCAGGTTCGATAATTTGTTAGAACAACTCACAGAACTCAGAAAATGGCTCTACCTACGACTGCAGCTTTATTATAAAGGATTCAACTCAGCGACAGCCAAAGGGAAGAGAGGCACAGGGCAAGATATTGGGGGGATGGTGAGTGCTTCCATGCCCTCTCCGGGGGCACCACCGTCCCAGCCTCTCAATGTGTTCACCAATCTGGAACTGTTCAAGAGGGTTTTTGTTGTTGTTGTTGTTGTTTGTTTTTTTTGAGACAGAACCCTGCTCTGTTGTGTAAGCTGTAGTGAAGTGGTACAATCTCGGCTCACTGCAACCTCCGCCTCCCGGGTTTAAGTGATTCTCCTGCCTCAGCCTCCAGAGTAGCTGGGACTATAGGCACGTGCCACCACACCAGGCTAATTTTTTTTTTTTTTTTTTTTTTTTTTTGGTATTTTTAGCAGAGACGGGGTTTTATCATGTTGGCCAGGCTGGTCTGGAACTCCTGACCTCAGGTGATCTGCCTGCCTCGGCCTCCCAAAGTGCTGGGATTACAGGCATGAGCCACCGCGCCTGGCTAAGTATGTATTCTTATTATCACTACAACCACCCAGGGCCTGGTGACTCCATGTGCAGCTTCTGCCTAGACCTCCATGTCGAGCTCCAGATTCTTCCATCTCACTGGCCCCCTAAGAGGGTCTCACAGGCATCTCAAACTCAGATCTGCAACACTGAGCTCTGTATCTTCCCTCCCGCAAGGCCTGCATTGCTCACGGGTGTCCCTGACTCAGCGGATGGCAGCTCAGTCTCTCCAGTGGCTCAGGCCAAAGTCCTGGGGCTCTTCTTGACTTCTCTCTCTCTCACACCCACTTCCAATCTGTCAGCAAAACCTGTTGGTGCTGCATCCAAACTACATCCACCTGCAGCCTGACCGCTTCTCCCACTTCCCCTGCAGATGCTAGTCGTGACCCCACCAGCCTCCTGCCAGGGCCAGGGCAGTCCCTTCTGTTGGGTCCCCGGCTCCTGAGAACCTGCTCTTTACCTCCTGTGAAAAAGGCAGGTTAGCTGCTCACTAAATCCCTCTGTTCCTGGCACCAGCACTGACTACACTTCCCAGCATCCCTTGCGGGTAGGTGTGGCCATGTGGCTGAGACCCAGCCAATGGAATGCAAGTGAACAGGTGCTCCCAAGGTTGAGCCTCCACTTTTCTCCCCACCTGCCAGCCAGGATCCAGAAGGAGGCTGGAGCCATAGGAAGGAAAGAACCTGGGTCCACGGATGAAAGGCAGTCTGCAGGATGGAAGCACCAGGCTTTGTGTGTGGGAAACAAACTACTGTGCCAGGTCATAAGAGCGGGGGTGTGTCTGTTTCAGGAGGTGTTCCATCACCTTCTGCCCTCGCCTCCTCTCCTAATGTCCTTGGAGACACTAGATAAGTTCCTGTCTCAAGGCCTTTGCACCTGCCATTCCCTCGGCTTGAATCTTCTTTTTTTTTGAGATGGAGTCTTGCTCTGTCACCCAGGCTGGAGTGCAGTGGCGCAATCTCGGTTCACTGCAAGCTCTGCCTCCTGGGTTCATGCCATTCTCCTGCCTCAGCCTCACAAGTAGCTGGGACCACAGGCGCCCACCACCACGCCCTGCTAATTTTTTTTATTTTTAGTAAAGACGGGGTTTTACCGCATTAGCCAGGATGGCCTCGATCTCCTGACCTCGTGATCCGCCTGCCTCGGCCTCTCAAACTGCTGGGATTGCAGACGTGAGCCACTGCGCCTGGCCGGCTTGAATCCTCTTCTGTCTGACATCTAAGAGGGCTCCTCCCTCCCCTCCATCAGACCCTTCATTAAAGGGTATTTTTTCCGGGGGAATTTCCTGACCATTCTGCCTCAAATAGTTCCTTTTTCCCTCCTTTATTTTTTCCCAAAGCACGTACCACCTTACAGTGCACTCTATATTTTATTTTATTTTTGAGATGGAGTTTCACTCTTGTCACCAAGCTGGAGTGCAATGGTGCAATCACAGCTCACTGCAACCTCCACCTCCCTGGTTCAAGTGATTCTCCTGCCTCAGTCTCTTGAGTAGCTGGGATTACAGGCATGCCTGACCATGCCCCGCCAATTTTTACATTTTTAGTAGAGACGATGTTTCAGCATATTGGACAGGCTGGTCTCAAACTCCTGACCTCAAGTGATCCACTCGCCTCAGCCTCCCAAAGTGCTGGGATTACAGGTGTGAGCCACCACCCCCGGCCTATATTGTAATTAATTTATTTTTTCTTGAGACAGTGTCTCCCTCTGTCACCTAGGCTGGAATGCAGTGGCACAGTCATAGCTCACTGCAGCCTCGGGCTCCCAGGCTCAAGCAATCCTCCTGCTTCAGCCTCCTAAAGCACTGGGAGAGGTGCACCACCATGCCCAGCTAACTTTTTTATTTATTGCTAGAGATGGGGTCTCACTCTGTTGCCCAGGCTGTTCTCTAAGTCCTGGCCTCAAGCAATCCTAACTTGGCTTCCCAAAGCACTGCGATTACAGGCTTGAGCCACTGTGCCTGGCCCATGCTCTATATTTTTATTGGTTTATCCTGCTTACAATCCGCTTCCCCTCTAGAATGGAAACTCTGTAAGGCTGTGGGGTCCCTGTGCAGAGCCCGCCGTGCTGAGACGGTTGCCTGGTGCGCAGTGAGGGTTCGTTCCAATAAATGAATGAATCTCCATTCCCCGATCTTGGCTCATTGCAGCCTCTGCCTCCCGGGTTCAAGTGATTTTCATGCTTCTGCCTCCCAAGTAGCTGGAAGTACAGGCATGCACCACCACACCTGTCTAATTTTTTGTATTTTTAGTAGAGACTGGGTTTTGCCATGTTGCCCAGGCTGGTCTTGAACTTCTAGCCTCAAGTGATCCATCTGCCTTGGCCTCCCAAAGTGCTGGGCTGGCATTACAGGTGTGAACCACTGTACCTGGCCCTTGGGAGTGTTTTGGTTGTTTTTGTTTGTTTGTTTTAGACAGAGTCTTGCTCTGTTGCCCAGGCTGGAATGCAGTGGCATGATCTTGGCTCACTGCAACCTCCGCCTCCTAGGTTTCAGTGATTCTTCTGCCTCACCCTCCCAAGTAGCTAGGACTGCAGGCTTGCGCCACCATGCCCAGCTCATTTGTGTATTTTTAGTAGAAATGGGGTTTCACCATGTTGGCCAGGCTGGTCTTGATCTCCTGGGCTCAAGTGATCCACCTGCCCGGCCTCCCAAAGTGCTGAGATTGGCTGGGCGTGGTGGCTCACGCCTGTAATCCCAGCACTTTGGGAGGCCAAGGCAGGCAGATCACAAGGTCAAGAGATCGAGACCATCCTGGCCAACGTGGTGAAACCCTGCCTCTACTAAAAATACAAAAATTACCTGGGAGTGGTGGCGCATGCCTGTAGTCCCAGCTACTCAGGAGGCTGAGGCAGGAGAATCGCTTGAACCTGGGAGGCGGAGCTTGCAGTGAGCCGAGATTGCCCCATTGCACTCCAGCCTGGGCAACAGAGTGAGACTTTGTCTCAAAAACAAAACAAAACAAAACCAAAGTGCTGAGATTACAGGTGTGAGCCACTGCGCCCAGCCTTTGTTTTGGGTCTTTAGTGAGTAAATATGTATAAGGGCTTAGGACAGCAGGAGACTCAAAGTAGGCACTCTGTAAGTTTCCTATTATCTCAGTGCCATTCAGGGCAGTGAGATGCCCACTCTTGATGGACCTGGGGTGGCAGCAGGGTTGGGGATAAGGAGGATCAGCCCCTCTTTTTAATTCTTTTTTTTTTTTTTTTTTTTTGAGACAGAGTCTCGCTCTGTCACCCAGGCTGGAGTGCAGTGGCTGGATCTCGGCTCACAGCAAGCTCCGCCTCCCGGGTTCATGCCATTCTCCTGCCTTAGCCTCCCGAGTAGCTGGGACTACAGACGCCCGCCACCTCGCCCGGCTAGTAGAGATGGGGTTTCACCGTGTTAGCCAGGATGGTCTCGATCTCCTGACCTCGTGATCCGCCCATCTCGGCCTCCCAAAGTGCTGGGATTATAGGCTTGAGCCACCGCGCCCGGCCCAGCCCCTCTTTTTAAATCATTTTCCCTTGTCCTGTATTCTGCAGGGTGGGCAAACCCCCGGCACCATCCTGAAGGAGGGGGCAGTCGCTTAATGAGCGGAGGGAAGGGCCAGAACAAGCGTCTGGGTCCACCTGACGGCAGCGTCTGCTAAGTCTGGCTGACCCCAGACTTCTCCCCAGGTAATGACAGCACCAACAGAAATAGCCATGGGCAAGGCACAGTGGCATATGCCTGTAATCCCAGCACTTTGGGAGGCCAAGGTAGGAAGATTACTAGATCCCAGGAGTTTGAGACCAGCCTGGGCAACACAATGAGATCCCGTCTCTACAAAAAATTTAAAAATTAGCTGGCTGTGGTGGTGTGTGCCTGTGTTACCAGCTACTCAGGAGGCCAGGGTGGGAGGATCACTTGAGCCCAGGAGTTGGAGGCTGCAGTGAGCTATGATTGCACCACTGCACTCCAGCCTGGGCAACAGAGTGAGACCCTGTCTCTAAAAAAGTAAATAAAAATAAAAAATTAGCCAGGTACAGTGGCTCACACCAGTAATCCCAGCATTAAGGGCGGCCAAGGCAGGGGGATCACTTGAGGCCGGGAGTTCAAGACCAGCACTGCCAAAGCGGTGAAAATCCATCTCTACTAAAAATACAAAAATTAGCTGGGCATGGTGGCTCACGCCTGTAATCCCAGCTACTGGGGAGGCTGAGGTGAGAGAATTGCTTGAACCCGGGAGGCAGAGGTTGCAGTGAGCCAAGATCTCACCACTGCACTCCAGTTTGGGTGACAGAGAGAGACTCTGTCTCAAAAAAATAAAATAAAATAAGGCTGGGTGCAGAGGCTCATGCCTGTAATCCCAGAACTTTGGGAGGCCAAGGTGGGTGGATCACCTGAGGTCAGGAGTCTGAGACCAGCCTGGCCAACATGGTGAAACCCCATGCCTACTAAAAATACAAAAATTAGCTGGGTGTGGTAGCAGGTGCCTGTAATCACAGCTACTCGGGAAGCTGAGGAAGGAGAATCGGTGGAACCTGAGGGTTGGAGGTTGCAGTGAGCCGAGATCATGCCATTGCACTCCAGCCTGGACGACAAGAGTGAGTTGGGGCATAAGGAAGCTGCTCTGGGCACCACCCACACCCCAGCGTGACCCATCACCAAATGGGTCAGTCAGACCACTCCTGGGGCTTGGGGTTCCTTGACTGCCAAGTGGGGCTGATAACAAGGCCATGTGGAAGATTCATGGTGGCTCTGGGCAGGGCCAGGAGTGGCATACAGTGAGGAGGGCAGTAAAAGGCAGAGGAGGGCGGAAGGCAGGTCCCAGATCATGGGACGGGGCAGCCGAGGGGCCACTGCACGCTGGGAGCCTGGCCAACACTTGGTGGGACAGTCGTTGGCGAGGGCGCCCACCCGGAACACCTCTCGCCCCCGGCTTCCCCTTGGCCAGCTGGGATGCCACCTGCTCCGAGATGCCAGCCAGCGCAGGCTCAGCCCCGGTGACTGCCCCACCCTCAGCCCTGACAGGACGCCTGGCAGTGTGCCCCACACTCCTTCTCCAGCCAATGCCAAACCCCTGAGGCTGCCGGCAGCCCCCTTACCACTCACCGGGGCCAACTGGGCCTCCCTCACTGAGTGCCTGCCCCATGGGATGGGAAGGAGAGAGGCAGGGACTGTGAGGGTGCGGATGGAGGAGGAGAAAGGGGAACGGAAGGAAACAAGAGAAAGAGAGGCAAGGAGGATGAGACAAAGAAAATGAAAGATCAAGGAAGGAGACAGAGGCAGCTCAAGGGAGGAGAAATGGGGAACAGGAGGGGAACAGAATGGAGGGGGAAGGCAAGAAGCGAAGCCTAGAAAGGCAGAAGGTGAGAGAATGCAACTGGGAGCCGCAGAAAATGAAAAAGGAGGTAGCGGCCAGCTTAGCCAGGGCTCAGGAGAGCATCACAGCCTATGGAGCCATAAGGCCTGGGTGGTTTAGGCGGCCGTTTCACCGTGGGGGCCGAGCCCTGCCCCAGCAGGCCTGCCCCCGCCCCAGCTGCCAAGCCAGGGCTCCTGGGCCCTCAGCCAGCCCTGCTCGGGACTGGCCTTGGGCACAGATGGGCAAACTGCTCCGTCAAGAGGAACCGCCTCCCCGTTCGGGCTCTGTAAGGACTCAGAGGGCAAGGCCACGAAGGGCTCGGCCTGGCCCACCGTGTCCCTGCTCTGTCCCAGTGCCAGAGCCAGAGCCACTGTGGCCACTGTTCTGTTTGTGATGCTAGCCTAGGGCTAGTAAGAAGCCCCCAGACATGGGCGGCCCCTGATGTGCCCTCGCCCCACAGACCCACCTTTGTCACTGTCTGGGTCTGAGTCGCTGAGGGGCTTCAGGGGCGAGTGCAGGTCCTGGAAGTAGCGGTGGCCAGCTTCGCACTGCCACACGGCCGTGGTGTACAGGCCGAAAGTGGGGTCTAGCTCCACCAGGTGCGGCTCGTACGGGCAGCGGTGCTTGTGGTCCTCATACCAGATCACCACGTTCTTCAGGCAGTTCACGTTGCGTCGCCGCCCTGTGGACACAGGGCCGAGGGGTGGGTGTAAGGGACGGGGCTCAGCCCATGGTGACATGGCTGCCTGAACCACCGGGGCCTTATGGGTCCCATGGGTTGGGAGGCCCTCCTGAGTGCCATCCAGGCCTGCACCCAGTTTAGAGGGGGAAACTGAGGCTCAGAGAGGAGAAGCACCCCCTGTAGGTAATGCGGACTGTTCTATTGGCCAAGTCATGTAAACAGTGGAACCTGGCGCACAGTAGGTGCATAATAATTGTTAGCTGCTTATTATTGTTCTCATCTTCATCAAACGCCTAGACCAGTGCAATCCTCAGGCCTACGGCTCCCAGGCTCCCACCCTAACGAGCCCCTGCAGCCGCAAGAGGGCGCCTGTGAACACCCGAGTCAAGTCTGTTCCCTCCTCTGCTCAGAATCCACCATGAGGGCCAGGCGCAGTGACTCACACCTGCAATCCTAGCACTTTGGGAGGCAGAGGCAGGTGGATCACTTAAGGCCAGAAGTTTGAAACCAGCCTGGCTAACATGGAGAAAACCTATCTTTACTAAAAATACGAAAATTAGCCAGGCATGGTGGTGCATGCCTTTCGTCCCAGCTACTTGGGAGGCTGAGGTAGGAGGATCACTTGAGCCCAGGAGGTGGAGGATACAGTGAGCCGAGGTTGCGACACTGCACTCCAGCCTGGGCGACAGAGCAAGACCACCTCCCTCAGGGTAAAAGCCAAAGTCTTCCCTTCAGCCCACAGGGCCCACTGTGACTTGTCACCTGGCCCTCACCCGCTTGGTGACTCCACTCCACTCCACTCCAGCCACACAGCCTCCTCGCTATTCCTGGAGGGGGCTAGGTGTGGCCCACTCAGGGCCTTGGCACGGGCTGTGCCTGCTTCCTCCAGATAACTGTCTTGCTCCCTCCCCACTTCACTCAGGTCTCCCCCAAATGCACCCTCTCCGAGAGGCCGCTCCCTGCCCAGTCACTCTAGCCAACCTTAGCTTGCTGTCCGTTTTCTCCAGGTAGTACCTAGATGCCATCTGCGGCCATTTGTTTACATGTGCCCTGTCTGTCTCTCCCACCAGAATGTCAGCTGCTCAAGAGCAGGAACACTGCTGTTTTGTTCCTCCTGTACCCCCAGTGCCCCCACAGGGCCCGGTACACAGCAGGTGCTCCAGGAACATCTGCTGGATGAAAGAACACTGTATAAAGGGTGGGCATGGTGGAGCCGGACCGCCTGGGTTTGAATCCTAGCTCTGCCCCTTCCAAGCTGGGTAGCTCCGGGCAAGTGACTCAGCTTCTCTGAGTCCCAGGGGCCTCCTCTGGGCTGGGGAGAATAAGGGATTCCCATCCCTGAGGGCTGCCAGGCAGGAGGGAGGGAGTGAAGACATCTCCAGGACGCAGAACAAGGCTGGGCACACAGTGAGTGCTGGGAAATGGTATCTGACTCGTGTGATGGTCCTGGTCCCTCAGCCAAGCGCGAGGACAGCATGTCCCCCACCCCTGTGGGCCGGGAGATGAAGAGGGGCCCGGAAGAGGTGTTTGGGTCTAGGGAATGCGCTCAGACTCTCCAACCATGAGGGCAACAGAGTCATCACCCACAGCCGCCTCTCCAGCCCAGTCCTTTCCCTTCTCATTGCGCTCCTCATCCCTTGAGGCTTCAGGGTGAAGGTCATGGCTCCCCCCCGCCTCTGGAGAATCCTAAGAAGGGGAGGGGCTCACTGCCACCAGCTGGCCTTCACCCTGCTGGACATGGCCTGTGACCCCTAGCTCCAGAGCTCAGAGCTGAGCAGACCCTGGCTGTTCAGACTCCCACCGACTGGTGGCCAGCAAGACAGGAGGGGCAAGCTCCAGACCTCCCCTCCAACCACCAGTGCCTGGCTCCCCCTGCCCTTAGGGCTCTGCACAAGCTGTTCCCTCTGCTTGGCTCTCCCCTGGCTGACTCCCATGCTGGGAGCAAGAGACTGAGGGAGCCAAGGACACTGCCTGAGACATGAGACACGCAGACCTGGGTTTGAAGTCTGGCTCTGCTGGTTCCAACTGTGCTGCCCAGGGCAGCGACCTGGCCTCTCTGGGCCTTGATTTCCATATTCCCACCACTCCCAACTCTCCCCACCTTCCCCAGGCTGAGCCTCCACTTACTTTTCTTCCGCTTTGGCTTTTTGGGGACCTGCTCCCAAGGCTTCCTGCAACAGAGAGAGGTAGCGAGGGTGAACGCGGGGCCAGCGCTGGGTCTGTCTGACCCGTAAGTAATTACAGTGACTAGAGCCACTGCTCATTGTGCACTGAAACAAAATCTCAACTTTTTTTTGTTTTTGAGATGGAGTCTCGCTCTGCTGCCCAGGCTGGAGTGCAGTGGTGAGATCTCAACTCACTGCAGCCTCTGCCTCCCAGGTTCCAGCGATTCTCCTGCCTAAGCCTCTCACGTAGCTGGAATTACTATAGGTGCACGCCACCACACCCGGCTCATTTTTGTATTTTTAGTAGAGATGGGGTTTCACCATGTTGACAAGGTTGGTCTCGAACTCCTGACCTCAGGTGATCTGCCCACCTCCGCCTCCTAAAGTGCTGGTGTTACTTGGCTGGTGAGCGGCCACGCCTGGCCTGAACTTTTTTTTTTTTTTTTTTTGGAGGCAAGGTCTTGCTCTGTTGCCCAGGCTGGAGTGCAGTGGCGCAATCTCAGTTCACTGCAATCTCCACCTCCCGGGTTCAAGCGATTCTCCTGCCTCAAGCCTCTCACGTAGCTGGAATTACTATAGGTGCACGCCACCACACCCAGTAGCTGGGATTACAGGCTAATTTTTGTATTTTTAGTAGAGACAGGGTTTCACCATGTTGGTCAGGCTGGTCTTGAACTCCTGACCTTGTGATCTGCCTGCCTCAGCCTCCCAAAGTGCTGGGATTACAGGCGTGAGCCACCACTTTTTGAAGGAGTCTAGCTCTATCACCCAGGCTGGAGTGCGGTTGTGCGATCTTGGCTCACTGCAGCCTCCGCCTCCCAGATTCAAGCGATTCTCGTGCTTCCAGAGTAGCTGGGATTACAGGCATGCACCACTATGCCCAGTTTGTGTGTGTGTGTGTGTGTGTGTGTGTGTGTGTGTACCCGGGATTACAGGCATGCACCACTATGCCCAGCTAGTGTGTGTGTGTGTGTGTGTGTGTGTGTGTATGTGTGTCTGACCTCAGGTGATCGCCCATCTCAGCCTCCAAAGTGTTGGGATTACAGGCATGAGCCACTGCGCCCAGCCCGGAATCTGAACTTTTATGTACCTGTCCCCAACTCCAGCACTCAGGCCCCTCGCTTGGACTCTCTCCCCTACTGCCACCAGCCCTGGGAGAGGCCTCTAGCATCATCACCACCTCAAGGAGCAGGAAAAACAGGCTTGGAGGGGTGAGGCCACCTACGCCCTGGGTCCCACAGTCAGGGAGTAGAGAAGTAACAAAGTGGGTATGAAGAGTTGGTGTGGAAGCAGAATTCCAAGATGGCCCCCACAGTTACCCTGGGATATATGCCCTGTATGATCCTCTTCCCCTGAGCAGGGCAGGCCTGTGAGTAGGACTGGATGTCAAGCCTTGGTTAGGTGACTGTGAGTTAATCAAAAGGAAGCATATCTTGCAGGGCACAGTGGCTCAAACCTGTAGTCCCAACTACTTGAGAGGCTGAAAGTGGTCTTGGCCCACAGCCAGCAAGACAGTGGGTACTCTCTGGGTGTGGTGTCTCACACCTGTAATCCTAGTACTTTGGGAGGCTGAGGCAGGAGGACTGCTTGAAGCCAGGGGTTCAAGACCAGCCTGGGCAACATAGCAAGACCCCATCTCTATTTATACATTAAAAAAAAAAAAAAAAGGCCAGGCTCAGTGGCTCATGCCTGTAATTCTAGCACTTTAGGAGGCTAAGGCGGGTGGATCGCTTGAGGCCAGAAGTTGGAGACCAGTCTGGGAAGCATGGTGAAACCCTGTCTCCACAAAAAATACAGAAATTACCCAGGTGGTGGCATGCGCCTGTAGTCCCAGCTACTCAGGAGGTTGAGGTGGGAGGATCACCTGAGCCTGGGGAGGTCAAGGCTGCAGTGAGCCACGATCACGCCACTGCACTCCAGCCTGGGCAAGAGTAAAACCATGTCTCAAAAACAAAGAAACAAACAAAAACAAACAAAAAACAATCGTCATCATGGTACAGCCCTGTCACTTAATCATCAATAAGCAAACGGTACAATGATCATTATGATTATCAGTATCATCATAGAGCCCGGGTCCCCTGGCCTCCCTGCTGTGGCCCAGACCTGCTCTTGCCACAAACATCCTGACAACCAGTCTAGTGTCTCTTACCAGCAAAACTGTCCACCCCCTCTGACTCCTGCCCAGCCCTGTAACAATTCTCGGTACCATACCCATCTGGTTCCCAGGACTGCACCTTGGGGCTCTTCCATCCTTCCTGCCCCAGGCTCTGCCCCTGCCTCCGGCTCTGCTCTTCCAGGTCCCATCCCATGTGACTCTATCCCTTCCCACGCTCCACCCTCCCCTGCACATGGCCATACTGGCTGTGGAGACCCCCACCCAACCCAAAACCCAAGTCTGGCTCTGTCACCAAGGTTGGAGTGGAGTAGCGCTATCTCGGTTCACTGCAACCTCTGCCTCCTGGGTTCAAGTGATTCTCCTGACTCAGCCTCCCGAGTAGCTGGGATTACAGACGCCTGACACCATGCCCAGTTAATTTTTGTATTTTTAGTAGAGATGGGATTTTGCCATGTTGGCCAGACTAGTCTTGAACTCCTGACCTCAAGTGATCTGCCTGCCTCAGCCTCCGAAAGTGCTGGGATTACAAGTGTAAGCCACCATGCCCGGCCCCAAACCCAAGACCTAATGTCCACAGCCACCTCCACCCACTCACCGCTGGAGGCTGGGAGTGTCACATTGCGGTGGGGACAGTCTTGGGTATCAGCCAGACCCAAGTTCAAGACTCAGCTATCAACTGCCTGTGTGACCTCAAGCAGGTCTTGTCCCCTCTGAGCCTCAGTCTCCCTGTCTGTGAAGTGGAAATAGTAGTAGTGCCTCCCACACAGGATCACCATGGGGAGCAAGCGAGGTCATGTGTAACCTGGTGAGCGCCACTTTCCAACCCCAATGCAGGGCTCTCTCCCTCAAACTGCCTACCTCTCCTGTCCACTTCTCCAACTTCTGCCACTTCTCTGTGACTCCCAGCAGAGGCCACTGGCACCAAGGACCACAGCTACTGGGGCTACTCAGGCCCTGGCTTTGCTGTTCCCTGCGGTTTCCTTTCAGTCTTCACTCAGTCATTCCCACCAGCATCTAGATGTGCCATGATTTCTCCCGTCTTGGATTAAAATCATTTTGATACCCACCTTTCCCACCAGCCCCTTCCCCATATCTTTTTTTTTTCTTTTTGAGACAGGGTCTCGTGGTATTGCCCCAGCTGGAGTGCAGTGGCGCCATCAAAGCTTACTGAAGCCTCAACCTCCAGTGCTCAACTGATCCTCTTGCCTCAGCCTCCTGAGTAGCTGGGACTACAGGCATGCACCACCATACCCGACTAACTTTTGTATTTTTTGTAGAGATCGGGTTTCGCCATGTTGCCCAAGCTGGTCTCAAACTCCTGGGCTCAGGTGATCCTCCTGCTTCAGTCTCCCGAAGTGCTGGGATTACAAGCGTGAGCTACCGCACCCAGCCTCCTTCCTCATTTCCCCCCTTTGCCACGGTCGTCTACACTCGCTGTCTCCATATCCTCTCCTCCGTCTCACTGGAACTCCTCCAGTCAGGGCTTTTCTCCATCACGTCACACACTCTCCCATCACGGTCACCAGTGATGGCCGCTTCACTTGGCCCAACAGCACTGGACATGACAGACGCTTCCTTTGGCCTCCTGGGCGCTGCCACTGCCCAGTGCTCCACTGGCACTGGGGCTGCTGCTTCTCCCTCACCTCTCTTACCAAGGAGAGCAAATGCCACACTCAGGCCTGTATTTTCTGTCTGAAAGTATCCCTTTAGTAATTTTTTTCTTTTGAGATGGAGCCTCGCTCTGCCGCCCAGGCTGGAGTGCAGTGGCGTGATCTCGGCTCACTGCAACCTCTGCCTCCCGGGTTCAAGCGATTCTCCTGCCTCAGCCTCCTGTGTAGCTGGGACTATAGGCATGTGCCACCAGGCCCAGTGAATTTTTGTATTTTTAGTAGAGACGGGGTTTCAATATGCTGGCCAGGCTGGTCTCGAACTCCTGACTTCATGGTCTGCCCACCTCAGTCTCCCAAAGTGCTGGGATTACAGGTGTGAGCCACCGTGCCTAGACTAATTTTATTTTATTTTTTGAGACAGAGTCTCGCTCTGTTGTCCAGGCTGGAGTGCAGTGGCGCCATCTCGGCTCACTGCAACCTCTGCCTCCAAGGTTCAAGCAATTCTCCTGCCTTAGTTTCCCGAGTAGCTGGGACTACAGGTGTGTACCACCACACCCATCTAATTTTTGTATTTTTAGTGGAGACAGGGTTTCAATATGATGGCCAGGCTGGTCTCGAACTCCTGACTTCTCGATCTGCCCACCTTGGCCTCCCGAAGTGCTGGGACTATAGGCGTGAGCCATCGTGCCTGGCCTATTTTTATTTTACTTTTTGAGACAGAATCTTGTTCTGTGGCCCAGGCTGGAGTGCAGTGGTACAATCTCAGCTCACTGCAACCTCCACCTCCCGGGTTCAAGTAATTCTCCTGCCTCAACCTCCCAAGTAGCTGGGATTACAGGTGTGCACCACCGAACCCGGCTAATTTTTGTATTTTCAGTAGAGACAGGGTTTCACCCTATTGGTCAGACTGGTCTCAAACTCCTGATCTCAAGTGATCCACCTGCCTTGGCCTCCCAAAGTGCTGGGATTACAGGTGTGAGCCACCACGCCCCGTCCTCCTTTTTTTTTTAAATTGTTGTCAGGAGTAGTATGAACCTCCCTGGACTCATCATCAGTTTTACCAGTTGTTAACTCTTGGCCAACCTTGTATCACAATGTGTACCCCATCCATTCTTCAAGCCACACACATCCTAGAGACAGTTCCTTCTAAAATATAAACAAGGCTGGATGCGGTGGTGTGTGACTTGTATTCCCAGCTACTCTGGAGGCTAAGGTGGGAGGATCTCTTGAGCCCAGGAGTTCAAGACCAGCCTGAGCAACATAGCAAGACTGCATCTCAAAAATAAATAAATAAATAAATAAATAAATAAATAAATAAATAAATGGCC